AATCCAGCATTAGTATTTTAAATAAACTTATTATTATATTAAAGATTTTAATATAAGCATAATATACAAATTATTTTTATAAAATAACCGTGATTTAATTATTGGTARATCTCATTTGGTGGTAACGGATATTGGTGGAAAAGGGAAAGATACACCTTTGGTGGAAACGGGTATTGGTGGAAAAGGGAAAGGTCTACTTTTGGTGGAAACGTGTTACGCCCGATTTGAGTGTCAATATCCTCATGAACTTTTTTTTTTTTTTAAAAGACTGGTTAATTACATTTATAGCGTTTTAACTAAAAATATTATTATACGATACATTTAATATAGTCTATGTATATTTACAAAATATCAAATAGTTCAAAGAAAAACCAAATTCCAGCTTATGCTAGCTGTAYAAAGCATTAGGTAATACAAGTATTTAAATATAATAATAATATCTATTTTCAACTACTGTGAATATTTTTTAATTATTTGTCTCCGTGTCACATGCGTTCATACATTTATTGCATTGGAAAGAGATGCTTATGATAAATACATTTTTTTTTTTTTGGTGGAGGGGGGTGGATGTCAAAATTAGTTCCCAAAAAAAATTGTTAGAAAATTAAGTTCCATTAGCCACTAAAAAMCCTAGAGTTTAATAAGTAGTCTTTTTAGCAGTTACCACTTGTTTTCATTTGTCTATATTTGTGTCGACGGGTACTATAGATGACAATATTGTCAATATAGACAACGGTACTGGAAAATCTACACGACTAAGGGCCAACGAGGGTACTAATCGGGTAGGCAAAATATATAATATAATATTATTATGTACCATATGGGGGCACAAGGCAATAATTAATAAGGATTTTAAATGTTTGGACATATAAATTATACTTACCATTCGAGACTCAGATACCTCTCGCCACAACAGTGAAGCGTCTTGAACGAGTTGAGGGGCCCATACTCGGCGGTGCTCAGTTCCTTGGTGAACCGGACGCCGGAATACAGCCGCTGTGCGTCGTCGACTTCTGGGAACAAATTGTCGTCACAGTACGCGGCAGAACCCCCTCGGACCACGGAAGCGGTAACCAACAACAGCGGAAGTAGTAGTGAACGGCCGACGGGCATTTTCGTCCACTGCAATCACTGTGGACTGGACGAACTGTGACGAAGAGAAGCCGTAGACGCTGTCGTTTTAAACGAAATACAGAGTGGTCATACTTAACGTGACATGTCACAACGATTTCGAGACGCGAAAAAAAACGGCGACAAACGCGTTAACGAATAACCTCGTCGGCACACACCACACTGGTGACTGATCGTAGGTCCGCCGACTGTCGTAGTCTGTCGTGGTAGCCATCGGCGCGCGCGATCACATTAAAACCGCTCTCAGATACCGCTCCCTTCCTCCACACCATCCAGCCAACAGTGACGGGAGGTAACTACGGGTGATGACGCTTGAAGAGGCGGGTATCGGCCGGGTTGCGCGCGCGCGGGCTATATTCCGCTGTCGGCCACCAAACAATACATGAACACACACTTTGTATTTTTAATTTTTACCGAGAATCCACCTCCTGCCCACTCATAATGCATACAAGTCCCATGTTAATGACACAGCTGAGCAATCGTCTGTATGAACAACTTGTTTCCACCCGTCCACCGCACAGCAACAAAGGGTTTTCGACTTAAGCTCTGGTTTGTGGATTACAAGTAAAACTGTACCTCCTGCAACCGTCTGCTGTGTAGGTTTTCAATTTTTAAAAGCAATACCCAATAAGTATTGTTATTAATATAGTTAATTTAATTTATTACAAGTATTAACGAATTTAACGTATATAAATGAACACTATATCTAAACAAATATTTTTATTTTTCACTTTTTTAAACTGTATATTATTATAATTATTTGGTATAATTATATTTTTTCATGACTTAATCATAATATTTTACCTCCTCCTTTAGTTTCTTGAACCGGGCATCATCTTTTGTTTTTTTTTTGTGGTAACATATCATTTTAATGTTGAATTATCAAAGTTTATTTTCTGAAAATATTGATGCACATAATCATGTATACCTGCTATTAATAAATTGTATCGGTTCATATTATATTARATGAATTACTTTTATACAAAGTTTTTTGGAAAGAAGAGAAGTATTCGTATTTTATATATTATACATGTATAAATTGTATTTTTATATAATATGATTTAATCAATTCTATGGGCTAACTAGAGTCTAACTCATTGTAATTAGATATGTACTACAATGAAGTGTAATTGACCATCTATATTCCATAGGGATAGTAAATAACTGACGTCATTGAATGCTTCTAAGAAACGAAGAGGATAATACTGTAGTATATTACAATGAGATAGCATTATGCTTCTATTCAAAATTGTATATCCTTTTCGATGTCAATATTAGCAGCGGGGGCAGAGGAGGAGTGAACACTGAGTAGTGAGAGTGACCCATAGTAGATTAACTAAATTACGTTGCAAGAAAATGTATTCCAAATAAAATCCAGTTATAGTACTAAAGTTTAAACTAGAACATATCACAAATACACTGTAATTTGTCAAGTTGCATTATGATATATTTATATATATATTAAGCCATATGGATTACAAATTATAAAGCAAATTTATTTAAGTTCACAATAATACGATTAAATTACAGTACACTTAGGGTAAATTTGAAAATACCTATCTTGTRTAGGTATTTTGTATCTTGTATTTTTGTATCTTGTATATTATACGAGTATTATACCTACTTAAGTTAAAAATATTACTTTAAAATCATATAACCAAGGTTATCAGTGAACAGTAACATGGGAAGACTCGTTACCACCCCGGGAAAACTTTAAAAAAAATACCTTTTAAAAAATTGACGAGATAATTACATTTAACGCGTATAATATCGTTTTTACATCTCAACATTTATGTTTATTTATTATTYTTAAGAATACAATTTATACAACAGCATTATATAATTATCAATTATTACTTATTATTCAATGTAATTCATTTTAATTTATAATCCCTAAAAAAGTGTGAGTTATAACATATGTATTAGGAGTCGAAAAAACAATATAATGTTTACAAACAACTAAATTATTAACGAATAAATAATA